TAAACTTTGGGCTTCAAAAGCTGATGTGTTATTAGAGAATGCATCTTCTCATTATGAAAATATACCAGAGAAAGAAAGATTATATAAGGAATTTCACAAAAATTATAAAAAATATTGGGAATTACCTGATGATTTTCCAAATATAGAAGTGATAGATGGTTACAAAAAACCTAGAGTAGATGAATCTTTAGAATAATTTACTTGGGGAAAACCAGCTGTGTAAAAAATCATTGAATTTTGTAAGAATTAATTAAGATATTCTGATGAGAGAATAGAAGAAACAATAAGTAATTATTTTAATTAATGATAGATATACCTTTTTAGAAATTATTATAAAAAGAAGATTAGAAGAAAATAACAGATTTCTTTAGAGTGACAAGCAAAATAGCTATTATAAATAGTAGGAGAATAAATTAAGTTGTAATGAATCTAAATTAACCTGATTAATCAAGATAAAATGTATAAAAAAAAAATAAGAGGAAATTATTGAAGGAAATTAAGAAACAACCTGATAAAAGAAAAGATACTACATTTGATGAAACAAACATAAACCTTGATTAATTCAAATTCAAAAAGTCATTTAAAAAATCATGAAAATAATTAATATACATAATTCATAATGTTTCTCTAACAAACTTTCTTTCCTACTCTATTTTCTTACGATAATCCGCATACATTTGAAATATTACATTTTCTTGTTGCATGATTGCTAATTGCTTAATGATATCAATAAAATATTACTGTAAGTAAAACAGCAAATGTGGATAAGAAATAAAGTCTGAGAAGATTATTTGTTTATTTTTACTAAGAATATTTAAGATATTACTTTCTCATTTAAAAAGGTCTTTCTATTTCTGAATAAAGAGGCTTGTTCAAAAATATTCTTTTATAATGTGACTACAGCACTCCCCATAATTAAATTTATACAATTTATTTAATAATTTAAAAATTATGTTCAATCATCATAATCAACTTTTCCTAACATAAACATCTAGTCAATGTCTTTAGGGTTCTTACCTTTAGTTTCTTTGACTTTGTAAAATATATAGACAGTTCTTTAAATAATAGATCAGAATTTTACCCAAGTGAACAAAAAATAAAGAAGATTCCAAAACTATAATTCATACCTAGACTAGAATTGATAATTCCAAAGAATTAAGCAACCAAAGCACATCCTAACCAATTACATAGAACAGCAATTGACATTCCTTTTTCATCTAAAACATCAGCATCATAAATCTTAAAAACTATTTATTTTTATTACCCAGACAACTGGCCCTAAAGATAATTAAAATGCAGCCAAGTATAAAAACATAAACACAATAACCATTATTGCTGAAATTGTTACTTAATATTAATCATCATCTTCATTAGGTAGAAAACATGAAAATAAACTTATTAATCCCAAAAAAAGAGAACAAGCTAAAGTTCCATAAAATAAAAGAGGTCTTCTTCCTATATTCCTCAATAATGGAATAGCCATTATACTAAAGAATAAATTAACTAAACCAACTATTATATTCAACCAATTCTTTAAATCATTATCACCTCCTGTTATCTAATTTCTATCATTTATAAGTACCTTTATAAATAAACCTGAAGAATATATTAAAACTGCATTAATTCCACTAAATTGTTATATTATCTAAAGAATGCAACCAACTTTCAATCTACTTGAATATGATGGTGAATTTTATTTACTATCTTAAGCTTCTGATTTTTTTGCTTCTATTTATTGTTTCAATTCCTCAAAAATTTAATCTACAAATTATTGCTTATAGTATGTTTTTATTACTGTTTTAGCCTTATATATATATTCTTTTATATTACTGTCCGATTATTACTTCTTTATAAATAATATGATGGGGGATTGTATTTAAATGCAAATGCTAAAAATAAAAGTCGAGATGCACAAATCAACATTGGAAATACAATCACAAATCTAAAATAATCAAGACTTTCCCCGTTTGCATTAAAAAACCTCTTTTCAAAATAATTGGTACATTCCCAATATCAATGCAACTAAACAACCAACATTTATTGTCATCTAAAACATTGCACCAAATGATCCTGATAATGATTCAGGACAAAATTCTTTTATGTATTAAGGTACCAATGATGAATTCATTCCTACTGCAAATCCCATCACTAATCTTCCTATAAGTAGAGTAAATAGATGGAGAGGCAATTAAAAACCAAATCCTACAACACCAATCAAATCAGCCAATAAAAATGATTGTCTCAAACCAAATCTTCTTTATATTTAACCTGATAATATTGCACCTGCTGCTGCTCCTAAAGCTGGAAATGCTAATCAATATTCATTTCTTTCATTACCATTTATTAATCCATTTATCAATGTTTAATAATCATCATGATCACCTTGATCTGGATATTCTGAAATATCAAATTGAGTGTCTGCTGTCTTTAATGCTGGATTCATGTAAGAAATTGAATATCCAAAGAAAAAGGCTCCTAAAACTGAATTTGATATAAGTAAAGTAAATTATGAAGTTGATTTATGCTTTTATTCAGACATTAATATTATTACTTTTAATTTTCAATATCTGTGATATTCATATCATATAGTACTCATATTATGGAATCTATTTCATTCCAAAAATTACCAATACTATTTTTCTCCCTTTTTTACTCAATCTTTTTTATCCCTATTTCTAATTGATTTCTTTTGTCTAAAATCCAACAAATAACAATTCATTTCACACATATTTCTTTTATCAAATGTATATTTATCATTATTTCTATAACAAATGAAAGAAGTAAAAATATGAATGTTCATTTTGATAAAAATCTGTCAAATAATATTTTTCTCAATTAAATATATTATTAACTATAATCTCATCTTAGTATCATTAGAAATTTATATGAACAAAATTTTGAGTTTCTAATCAAATTCTTTTTTGATTTTTGGTATTCAAAAGGATTTCTTGGGTCAAATTTTTTATTTTTTTATTATTAAAAGTAAGAAACAAAAATACAGTATAAGGAATAATCAAATTTTCTTTCTAGTTTTTTATTTAAATTTATTAAAACATACGTCATGGGTAACTATTTTAAAACCAAACCTAAAGATAAACTTGATAAAGAAATGATTGAATTTTTGAAATCTCGTAAACTTCAACATATTAATGAAGTATAGTTTTATTTTAAGCTAGGCCATTGATGTTGTTAATACAAAATTTCCCAATTCAAAGTATTTAGAATACAGTGATTATTGTGATGTATTTAACCCAATCTTGGAAATTTGGACGTAACCTGTATTCTCACTCTTGTCATCTAAATCTAAATTAGAAGGTGCAAATGATATTTACGAATCCTTAGCTGTTTTGGTAATTTAATGAATTAACTTATAGACAATATTTAGTGATGAAGAATAAGAACTTAAATTATAATTCATTTTCTAATTATTTGACACTGATAAGTCAGGTGAGATAGAAAAGACTGAATTAGTTGTGGCTTTAGAAACTTGTATTCGTGGCTTGTGTAAGTTGGTACACTTACCAGCTCCTTCAATATAAGACATTGATTTTTATGCAGAACGATTGTTTCTAGAATTAGATAGAGATTACAGTTACACAATATCATTTAATGAGTTTAAACTCTGGATTATTGGAAATTTTGAATTATAAGACTTTCTATTAAAATATGCACTTATCTAAACATATGAAAATGCTAAAAGGCGATATAAAGAAAAAAGAATTCTTTACGAAAATTTTTTCTTAAATGCAATTGGGAATAATAAATCTGAATTATGTGAATTAGAATCCATAAAGCAAATATTTTTGGCTGAATTCAATAATTAGAAATAAGATATTCTTGGCTTATTATTTAAGACTTTATAAGATTCTTCTAATGCCTACTTAGATCAAAAGCAATGCGGATGGATTTGTAAATAAGCTTACTAAGATGTTATGAATGCTTGGGCAGCTTTTGATGCTTCTGATATCAATTCTGACAATGAAGTCTCCATGTCGGAATTGAAATATTTAATTTATGCATATGAAGGAGACAAACCAGATTATTATAGATTATAAACTGAAATGGAAATTTTAGATATGGATTAATCAGGAAAAATTACTAGAGATGAATGGATAAAATACCTTTGCGTAAATGATAAAGGAAAATTAATTTTTAGGGGAACTTTATAACATCAATTTAATGAATATGATAAAGATCATAATGGTCTATTATCTATCAAGGATATCAAAGACTTACTGATTAATTCAATGAAAGACCTAAGAATTCATTTCAAAGTAAAAAATTATTATTTAAATTAAGAAATTCAATGCAGGGAAGACATTTGAAGACATGATTGATGACTTGATTAATGAAATTGTAATATCACTAAAAAATGGAAGCTAAGATCCCCATTCTAATTCAAATTAGCTATTGTTTGTATACTTAATTTATTAAACTAGCTTACTTGGAATCAATTTAAGACATTTATGGAATAAGCAACATAAAAATAGGATTAACTTCGCTAACTTCTAGCAAAACTTTGATTTATAAATATTTTAAAATAAATGCTATGAATTAAATTAAAAAAATTAAAAAAAAGATTGATTATTAATGCCAACTAAAATAACAAATTAATTAGCAATTTAACTTGAATAAGAACCGATGATATGTTTGAAACTAACTCATAGACAAATAATATATATACAACAAAATTTGTAAATTTATACAGAAGAAAAATTAAAAATTTTTGTTGTTAATGGATATTTAGAGAGGAATTTAGATGAAGCAAGAAAACTTTAAATATCTGAATTTAGCATAATTGATTTGTTACAGCAGTAGCTCATAATATACCTTAAAAAATTGAAGATTTTTTACAATTCAATTTTTTGACAAAATTGTAATCCTCTCAAATTCAATCAGAAGTTTAATTAGAATTTATGAATTAAATTCTAAAAAACTAGCATCCATAATGAATTAACACTATTGGCTATATAACAAATAATGGGATAACAAAAATTTAAGGTTAATAAATATTTTGTAACCATAGAAATTTATAGTACTCACAAGAGATAGCCATAAAAACAATTATCTAATTAATCGTTTATTAGTAACCATGACATATATAAATCATAATTTTTGAAGAAATCGGTTTTGACATTTATGGTTAAAATCTTCAAGAGCAAACCCATTAAATAAGAAAAATAATTGAACTTAAAAGATTGCCTAAAATCTTAGGGTGGAGAATTTATATTTTTTAAGATTATGTTCCTAAATGGATATCAAAATTGGAGATACGGAATTGCAAATAAATAATTGAAAAAAAATTATTATGATTTAGAAAAAATAGTTTCTGTTTTTATTATAAGTTTGGTAACAATTGAGTAAGAAAGGGCATTTTTAGGGTTGGGATTTATTAAAGATATTGGTATCATTGATATTAAGATTCATGTTATCTCTAAAATTAAATTCAACAATTAAAACTATTTTATCAATTCAAAATTCGATAAAATATCATGAGATTAGCTAAAAGTTATAAATGTTGAGGATGTATATTGACTACTGGATAAAGAATGCCTTCAAAATTGAACGTTTTGCATATCTATAGATTTATCTTATATTACTTCAAAAAGTGAGGCGATTGGAGAGATAACTGTTAATAAAAAACCCTTTTGAGTTATAATAGTCAAAATTATATAATTTTAGCATTTTGATTAACAAACTGCAATGATTCATGAAATAATTTTTGTTTTGTTCAGGTAAGCAACCATAGATATATCTTTATTTAAAAATTGAGTCTATGTCATTAAACAAATGAAATTTTGATTAAATTTAAATATCATTCAACAATTTGATTGATTAAGATTTTAATTTTTTCAATAATTAATTTTTAATATGCCATAATATTAATCATACAAGTTCCACAATTCAAAATTAATTTGGCTATCGATAAAAGGATTTTATTAAAAGAATTGAATAATAATATTTTTTTAATAATAAAAATGTCAAATTTTGCTTAATTTCTTGAGGACATCAGTGATTTCAAAGATAGGCCTGTTAAATTGAAATAAATAAAGAAAGTTCTGAAGATAAATGAGAAAAGCTTTCCGCCTTGCAAAAATATCCTGAATTATTATTTCTAGGAGTTTTCAAAGTAGATGTTTACAATAAAAGTAGACGAACAAATGAAGAACATCGTACGAAGTGGCACAGAAAAGACAAAATACTATTTGTTTGGACTGTATTGAAATATTTTGAATTAACAAATAAGACTGATCTAAATCCTGTATGTCTAATTAATAGCATAGTCTGATTAAGATTGGCAATATCTATCTTCAGTATTAGGAGTGACAGAATAATTGTTGAATTTAAAATGGATTAGTATGCTTAAAACTAATTTAAAAATGGCACCTTGGAATGATGAGGAGGATGAAGTCTTACAAAATTTGATTACAGATCCAAGTGAAAATAAGAATTGGACTTAAATAACTATTGATTTTAATCGAGCAAATCCAGCAAAAATAGTTAGACATGCTAAATAGATCCGAGAAAGATGGAATAATTATTTAAATCCAGACTTAAAAAAGTATTATAATGATATTTAATTAGATCTGAGTGGTCTTAGCCAGAGTAATTGCAATTGTTATTGTTAGTATAAGAAATAGGAAAGAGATGGTCTTTAATATCTAAACGAATTTAGGGAAGGACAGAAAACCAAGTTAAAAATTAATACAATTCTATGATGAACAATTATAGGAGATAGAATGTATAAATTGATCATAGAATTAGCAATTGGATAATGAAGACATTGCGATTCATAAGTTGCTTGCTAACTTATAAGGCAAAGATTATGAAGGTCCAGTGCCATTAACTAGTAAAAGAATAAGAAAAACGATCAACAACAATAATAACATAAACATCAATAACAATAATAGCAATAATAAAGATACTGTTTTGTATAACAATGATCAACCATTTATGTAGGTAGAGAACAACGTAATTAATGAGATTAAAGAGGAACATCAGCAAGAATAATCATAATAGCAATTTCAAATATAATAGTAATTTTTATAACAATCTTAATTATAATAATAACAATAGTAACAATAATAACAATAATAGCAATAATAATCATAACAATAATTGCAATAATAGCAATAATAGCAATCATAACCTCTAATGCTTGGATTACCAGTTTACTCACCAATGATGCCATTTTCGCCATTACATTATTTAATATGTAAATAACAAAATTATCTTTAGAATAAAGTCCCAATAATATTTCTTCTCCTTATGAAATAAGAAACAAAAATTATTCTGGTCAACTGTAACTCTTTGATGAATATATGAAATCAACAAATAATTTGGATTAAAGTGCTCCTTAATAAGATGTGCCTTGTTTATTAAGATTATTTAACTCCCCAGCTTTCAGCAATTCAGGATTCCCTTTTGCTACGATGCCTTTTCAATAACCTACCTAATAACAATCCACTTATAATACGAAAAAGATAAATAAGATATAAAAAGAATTATTAAAGTTCGATACAGGTTTAAATAAAGATTGCTGATATTAATTATTAATATATTTTCTTAATCATAAATGAAATCTAAAGTTGAATCTCAATAAGAAGAATCAAATACAGATAACGACTTTTCTGAAATGTCTGATACATAAGTAAGAAGAAGAGGTCCTCCTAAAAAACCAATAACTAAAAATAAATTACCTAATCTAGAAAGAAATGTCCCCATTATTATTAAGAATAATAATTTTGTCATAAGAACTATTTGGACAATTGTTATGATTCTGGGTTTTATGGCTGTTTTATGGGCAGGCCACATCTATATTATTGGATTGGTACTTTTAGTTAACATTGGAATATTTAAAGAAATCTTGGGATTAAAAAGAAATTATGAGAAAGAGGTTAATGTAAAATATTCACCAATAATTAATTGGTACTTTTTTGGGATTGCCACATTCTTTTGTTATGGAAAATTATTACAATCTAAATTATCAGAATATGCATTTAGAATGCATATTTTGTCATATATTTTGAATTACCATAATATTATAACATTTATGTTGTGGGTAGCAGGTTTTTTGATGTTCACACTTTCACTTAAAAAAGGATATTATCGATATTAATTTAGAATGTTTGGATGGACACATATTACATTAATACTTGTAGTTGCATAAAGTTCAGTCATGATCATGAATATTTTTGAAGGTATCTATAATTATTATTAATTTAATAGGAATTGTTTGGTTTATATTACCATGTTCATTAGTAATAACAAATGATATATTTGCATATATATTTGGAGTTTCATTTGGAAAAACTCCACTTATAGAACTATCTCCAAAGAAAACATGGGAAGGCTTTATAGGAGGTTGTTTCTCAACATTAATTGCTTCTTTTTGTGTAATTTGTATTTAATTATCATAGTTTGCATATTTTCTTTAAGGAAGTCAATATTTGACATGTCCATAGCATTAACTACCTTTTTCTCCATTTGCTTCATTAACATGTGAAATCCCTAGTGTTTTCATCACTAGTTAAAGATAATTACCATTTTCTATATTAGGAATAGATTTAATCTATTTTAGCGATTTCTAAATTCATGCTATGGTTTTTAGTTTATTTACAAGTCTTGTTTCACCATTTGGTGGTTTCTTTGCATCTGGATTTAAGAGAGGAATAAAAATCAAGGATTTTGGTGATACAATTCCAGGACATGGGGGAATTACTGATAGAATGGATTGTTAAATTTTAACAGGAATGTTTTCTTACTTATATTTACACTAAATTGTTTTACCCAAAGCGGTGACATTAGGCACAGTATTAGGTTATGTTTCTTAACTATCTAATTATGATCAATAAGAATTATTTGAACAACTTAAATAAACATTGTAAATTGATTAATGAATAGTGATTTAAATAAATAGAATTAATATATATTATAATATTAAAACTACCCTTTTACTAATACTGACGAAAAGAAATTATTAAATATATATTGCATCTATTATACTTTATTCTTTTTGATAATTACTTTAAAATAGTGATAAATCAGTCATTTCTAATTCTCTCCTGATAAAAATCAATTCAAATTTCTTATTCAAAAATTTAATATTATCGTCTCAAATAAATTATTTACTAATTAAATTCTTTTAGATTAAATTCAATAGAGAGGGATTTAGATTTAATAAAATATTCTATAAATTTGCAAGCTAGACTATTATTTATTAAGAATGTTAAAATAATTGTTGTATTTCTTTCGACCTTCTTCTTGTTGAAAATGTTCTAAATTCAAGATGTATAACTAATACACATATTACTTCACTCTAAATATTTTTTTTATTATCAAAAGAATGGAATTTGTGAAATTTCGTTTCAGTCAAGTAAAAGATGTAACTTTTTTTGATTATTTTAAATAGAATATTATATAATTTAAATTAGCTAATTGCAATATTAAAATAAAGAGTTCGTTTAAAAATTTTTAAAATAATAAATTTATGAAAAATTAATCTTTCACTTTGATAAAATAGTATAATTGCCTAAATTATCTAAATTGTAAAAGGAAAGGATATTAACTTGGCAAATTTAACTTCTTAAATAATAAAGGAAATATCATCATTCTTAAATAAATTAGAGTGAAAAAATCAGCAGATGAAATTAAAATATATCTTTCATGAAATAAATCAAAAAACAAAAATTATAAAATACTCAGACAGATTCTTCAGCATCACTGCTAAATGAACTGTCTCCAGTGTCAGTTTGTTTTATTTGAGCAACTGGCCACTGAGCATGATTAAAAGTATTATTTGCTGCATGAACCTAAAATAGTTATCAATATATACAATTCTATCATTTTTTTCCTAAGGTTTGTTTTCTTCTGCTGCCTTTTTATTTTATTGTTTTTTTAAATATTCTAGTTTTGTATTCACATATTTTTCCAATTGTCTTGTTTTCTTAACAGGTAAAGTATCAATATCAAATTCTAATTCATCATTTTATTCTTAAATTTTAAGCCCATCAGAAACTATTTCCCAAACTCCTCGAAGATGTTCTGGAGGCAAACTATTTATGTTTGATACTAAAGCTCTTTTTTCTTGCATATTCATTGGTTATTCCATTAAACTTGGCTGCTTCCTAATATTATTTTTAAATTATTTACAATGGTTTCTTATTATTTTAATTATTGTGATTAGTATTGCTATTATTTTATTATATGACAGGAGGCTTTTTTTGTTTTTCTTATTTTATTGGTTGTTCTGCATTTTATTTTTAAGGATAAGGCTTGTCTAATTCTTTATATAATTCATTAAAATGCTATTCTAATTCTTGGGTCATTGCATATAATTAGGTTCCTTTATTATTCATGGCATATGACATTTACCAGATTTTTTTAATATCTCCCCAAAATTGCGTGGCAGTAAGATATTCATCTAAATAATTATTAGATAGGTTAAGTACTATTTTTGAGATTTTATTCAACAATTTATAAATCGACATATTCCAATTCTTAAGGATAATTCACATTTTCTAATTTCCTTAAAAATGGTGCTGCTAACTAATGTTTTTTTAGTTTTAAAAGTAATGCTAAACATCTTTTCATTTCATCATTATTTTCTGCTCTATAAGGTGCTGCAACATATGTCTTTTTTGTAACTTTATTCTCTTCATCTGATGAAATATCCTATTAAAATTTCTAAAATTTTATTATTTGATTATTAAACTTTAATATCTCTTTTTGATTATCTGCTTAAATTAATGCTAAAACCAGGAGGTAATCTCTTTGCAATCACTCTTGCTTAATCTGTACTTAAATGGACTTAAAATATATCATCGATTTGCTAGGCATCAAAAATTAAAATTTAGTTATACACAAAAGGTCGTCATAGCTTCAATAACGATTTTTAGAGTAAGAGAGATTCTTTTGAAAACAATTTATTTTAATTATTACTTTTTGTTTATTCACCATAAAAACCCTCATAAAAAAAATGACCGGGGGTGGAAAAAAATGCTTAATTAAAATTAAAATAAGTTTGAGAGGTAAATATATTGTTTGAATAGAAAACAATTATTATATGAAGTCCCTTCAAAAGTCAGAATTTATATGACAACATTAATATATAAGCCCATCAAATATCTTCAAGCTACTGAGAAATTAATAGTTATATGTACTAAATTACAATCAGCAATTTTGAATTAGTTCAAAAGTTGTCTTCTATTCTTATTTAAATTATTTTTCTTTCAAAAATTCTCAAGTTATTGAAAACACCTAGTTGATTTTTAAAATAAATTCATTATATTGAAAAAATTAATTAATTTAATATTAAAATAGAACACTTTAATCTTATATCAATTCTTAAATATATATAAAATATTTGCTCTTTCTTAAAATTATATATAGCTTAACAATGATTTTCATCTTTGTTTTTAAAAATTGAAATATAATTATACCAAATGATTGTAATTTTTATCGTTTATTCTTTTTAATCTCATTCTTCAAGAATATTTTTTTGAATTTATTTTATATAATTTTTATAAAACTATCTGATGTCTTTCATCAAGAAAAATTAAATATTGCATTTTTCTAAATTGAAAATTCTGTAGAATAAATTAAATTGTAGTTTACATTTATTATTTTTATAATCTTTGTAGGTTGAGTTAATATTTTAAAAATGTAATTATTTCTAACCATCAGTTCTATAATTTTATAATTAACTTTTTAGTAAAAATATATTTTTTGTAAAAGTATATCAGAAATATCCCCTTGTTAAAATGAAAAATGTTTTTCAAATAATTCAAAAACCGAAAAATAAATCTTAAAAATAAAATTCCAAATTAATTATGCTCCAACACAATAATAATTTAAGGAGATAAATAAAACAAAGAAATTTCATATGAATCGTTATAAAATTTTTTTTTACTCCCTAAAGATTATAAGTTGAAAAATTTTGATTTCTGTCTATATTTTCTCCAAATTTTAAAGAAATTTAGATGTGAAAACAAATTTGAATAATTGATACGTCTATTTGTTAGTTTTTTTTCATAAATTAATTAAATATTAATGCTAAATACACCCTTATCATTTTTACCAAAGTTAATGTAATTTATCCAGGAGATAGGGGAAGAAAATTCTTCAGTAGATATTTAAAAGCTCTAAAATACGATTGACATAAAATTATAGCAAACAATCATTACCTTAAATGAAATACTTCATTTTTATGAGTATTGTGAATCACAGTAATCAACTTTTGTAAATTATTAGGGAATTCATGAAAATGCATAGTTCAAGGAATTGGACAGATGAAGAATGGAAAGTCTTAATATGGGTTATCTAGCAATACTGTTTTGTTTATTAGAAAAATAGTGAAGATTTTGTATAATAATAATTTAACAATAGAAAGGATAGGATTGGCATAATATATCTAATATCATCGCTTTTAAAGATGAATTAAATTGTTAATTTAAATGGTTTTCTCATTTGCGCGCGATGCCTTCAAATAAAAATTGGTCATCTGAAGAGGAAAAATTGTTGTATAAAATAATGACAAAAGAACCAAGTATTAAATGGTTCGAAGTTTAATATGAGATGTTTATTGAGTCTTCAGGGTTATATTTTAGAAAAGCAAAATAATACAGAGAAAGATGGAATAACTATTTAAATCCTTAAGTAAATAGGTAAGGATTTTTGATAATCTTAGAGGAATTTGGACAGAATTAGATGATTACAATTTACTAGAACATGCTCTTATTGAAGGTTTAAGATGGTCTAATATTTCAAAGAAATTAAAGAATCGAACAGAGAATCAGGTGAAAAATCGCTTCAAAAGTTTAATAAATAAAGAAAGAAAAATTACTTTAATAGTTTAGGAAGCCATTAAAGAGATACCTGAAGATTCCCTCAAATAAGGATTAGATAAACCAACCTGGTTTCTTATTCACAAAATTCTTAATAGATTAAAGCCAGGTGAAAAAATATCATAACCTAATTAAAATCAGCAAGGAAATAATGATTACCATTAAGAGTAGACTTATTAATAACTCAACCAATATGGAGTATTAATGAATCCTCAAGAATATTATTTTTAATAATTTTAGTAGGTTCCATTACTTTCATAATTGCAACCATTATCTTAGGTTTAGTAAATAGCATAATTATCCACTATTTCATAAATCCCTTCATAAATGAATCTGCACTAATAAATAGTACCTTAATCATATCTTCAATCATATCCTTAATCATAACAAGATATCAGTATTTAAATACCACACAATTAATCTACTGTTTCACAATAGATATTCTAATAATAATTGATTCAACATCAATAATAATAATCCATGATGACAAACTTTTATTAAGGCTAATACATTCCCTAATAATTTATTTAATAGTAATAATAACCACAATAATTCAAGTTTAATTTATATTCATCCTAGCAAAATACACCTACTAATTCAATCGGAACCTTAAGTTCTTAAAAATCAGATAAATTAATCTCTGATTAAATTAAAGAAGAAGAAAATAGTGGTTCATCTTCTAATAAAGAGCCTAAGGTCTAAAAAATGGTTTGTGTTTCGGCTCAATCATCAATTAATGGTTCAACAAGTTCGGTAAATTCTATTGATGCCATTAAATAAAATTTTAATAATATGAATCTAGATTCAGAATAGAATAGTCCTGACTTGATTTAAAAAAGAAAACATTAAAGATCTTAGTCTGGGGCTTTTGATATTAATAATTAAGGAAAAGTGAAGACAAAGAGATCAAGATTTTTTTATGCTTCGAATGATGGTTGAATAATTTTAATCAATAAATAGCTATAATCAATTATTTTATTGAAAAAAGTTTTATTTTATATATTCACCTCCAACAGTTTTTAAAAAACTTAAAACTATTTTAAGAACAATCAGTTAAAATAATCTATTCTAAAAATTTATTTCTTAAATTGAGCAATATTGATTGAGTATCTGCTGAAATACATCGTAAAGAACTAAATAATTATCAAAAAAATTCTGTTTTGAGATTATTTGCCTCTCTAAATCAAAGGTTTTTTCTTTTAGAACATTTGAAAAAAAAATCAATATGTAATTAACAACTTTCTTTACTTATTCTCTTTACAAAAGGATTTTTCATTAAGCTTTAGAGTTTTCCAAATTTATTTGACTATTTAATTACATTTAAGAATAATAACTATTCATTTTCCATGAAATTCTAATAAAATTGTTACTTGTCTAACTTTTCATTATTTAAAACAAATTAAGATTTATTTATTTATAAATGATCAATATTCATTTAACAAAAAATTCAATTTAGTGATAGAAAGGAAATTTAAATCAATACCAAAAAATGTTTTTATATTTAATTATTAAATATCTTAATTTTAAAGGATTAATAATATAATTTGTGATTCAATTACTCTTTAATTAAATAAATCATTGTTTTTGATTTTAATAAATTATTATTTATTATTGTGTTTAAATTAAATTTTATGGAGCAAACCACATTGATTTCCCGATCAATAACAAATTCAAGAAATGATCTAAGCCATACAAACTTATGCTAAAATTATAGACCCAATGAGCTAACTAATTGACATTAATACTAGGATCTCTAACCTTGTTTTATCAGTAAGAATAATTTAATAAAATTAAGATAAAAACTAGATTAAGATTTAACTATTCCATAAAAATTTTTATTATAATTCATCAACAGGATAAAATAGTTATTTTCCATAAGCAATTAACATTTAATGGTAGAGTGTGTTTATTTATTAATAAGTGATGGTTATGAAAATGCTATACAAGTTTCTATTAATCAAATTAATTCTATCAGTTCTAACTCTCTTAATGAAATAAAAAAAAGATGAAGATCTATCAAATATAGAATACAAATTATAATAAAGATTGCAAAATGAGGCATAATTAATTTTAAGGATTAAAGGATAAATATTTTGAGTGACAGGCTTAATTCGTTCAGAAAGCATATGATAATTTTAAATATCTGAGTTTAGAAGTTTTTGAGCCTTGTTAATAAAATAATCTTAGAAAATTAGCTGCTGGAAGAAAATAAATTAAGGAACATAGAATTAGCTTTCTCTATACAATTCTACTTCCTTCTAACAACTGAATTGATAGTAGAGCCAGACGAATGACTTAAGAAAAAAAACTTTAACAGGAGATTCTTAGGCTATTAATAATGAAAGGGTATAAATTCTAAAGTATTTTAGCTTTATATCACTCACTTCACTACTTCTAAATGAATAATAAAAATAGTGGTATATTTTTAATCCATAATCATTCAAAAAAAATTAAAGAAATCTTATCAGATCAAATTGTAGAAAATATCGATATCTTGGAATATTAATAGAAAACGATGGAAAAATAATCGAACACATCAAATAATTGAAACAGACAATATAAATTTTAAAATAATGAAATAGATACAATTCAGGATAAAAACTTTANTAATTATTAAATATCTTAATTTTAAAGGATTAATAATATAATTTGTGATTCAATTACTCTTTAATTAAATAAATCATTGTTTTTGATTTTAATAAATTATTATTTATTATTGTGTTTAAATTAAATTTTATGGAGCAAACCACATTGATTTCCCGATCAATAACAAATTCAAGAAATGATCTAAGCCATACAAACTTATGCTAAAATTATAGACCCAATGAGCTAACTAATTGACATTAATACTAGGATCTCTAACCTTGTTTTATCAGTAAGAATAATTTAATAAAATTAAGATAAAAACTAGATTAAGATTTAACTATTCCATAAAAATTTTTATTATAATTCATCAACAGGATAAAATAGTTATTTTCCATAAGCAATTAACATTTAATGGTAGAGTGTGTTTATTTATTAATAAGTGATGGTTATGAAAATGCTATACAAGTTTCTATTAATCAAATTAATTCTATCAGTTCTAACTCTCTTAATGAAATAAAAAAAAGATGAAGATCTATCAAATATAGAATACAAATTATAATAAAGATTGCAAAATGAGGCATAATTAATTTTAAGGATTAAAGGATAAATATTTTGAGTGACAGGCTTAATTCGTTCAGAAAGCATATGATAATTTTAAATATCTGAGTTTAGAAGTTTTTGAGCCTTGTTAATAAAATAATCTTAGAAAATTAGCTGCTGGAAGAAAATAAATTAAGGAACATAGAATTAGCTTTCTCTATACAATTCTACTTCCTTCTAACAACTGAATTGATAGTAGAGCCAGACGAATGACTTAAGAAAAAAAACTTTAACAGGAGATTCTTAGGCTATTAATAATGAAAGGGTATAAATTCTAAAGTATTTTAGCTTTATATCACTCACTTCACTACTTCTAAATGAATAATAAAAATAGTGGTATATTTTTAATCCATAATCATTCAAAAAAAATTAAAGAAATCTTATCAGATCAAATTGTAGAAAATATCGATATCTTGGAATATTAATAGAAAACGATGGAAAAATAATCGAACACATCAAATAATTGAAACAGACAATATAAATTTTAAAATAATGAAATAGATACAATTCAGGATAAAAACTTTAAAAATTCAAGAATAAATAATAAAAAATAGACTAATTTTCTTTAAAAATTAAATAAATGTGTTTTTTTACTTGATTGGCCCAAACTTATCATACATAAGAATTTCAAATTATACATCTACAATATAAACGAATGAAAGAAAAAAAAAAAAT